CGCACCGGAGCTCACGCACAGCTCACGCACAGCTCACCGCAGCTGTTCCGACGCTAAAACAAACCGATATAAACACGGTTGTTTCGCTCTTCACGCACGTTTAAGCCACTCTCACACTTCTCGCGAGAGTTGTATAGCGGAAGTTTATAAGCAAATCATGTGACTTGATGTAGCTGGCAGTGTGAACAGCTATGCCCAAATAGTCGGAGCTCTGACAGGAAGGTTCAGGTCCCAGAGGATTCTCCGATATGCAGAACGTGATCAACACGGTGAAGGGCACGGCCCTCGGGGTGGCCGAGCTGTTCACCCCGGTGTTAAAGGTAAGCGCGGCAGCTAGCTGCTGGTAGCTGTAGCCGCTCGGACGTCGGGGCTTCATTTGTGTGCTCTCGGTGTGAAATGTTTGACACGCAGCTGCTTCACCGGAAGTGAAGCGGAGCACTAACAGTTTTCGCTTTGTTGTTAATGACAGGAATCGAAATTCAAGGAGACGGGAGTCCTCACACCGGAGGAGGTGAGAACCGACACAGCCGCGCACACTGTTCCTCCCGCGGCTCTGCTCAGGGCCTCACCTGTCCGCTCCTCTCTGTCTTTCAGTTTGTAGCAGCTGGAGATCACCTGGTTCATCACTGCCCCACATGGAAATGGTGAGAGGCTTAATTCACGTCAAACACGATGAGTCCGTGTCATTAAAAAAGAAACGCTCGAAAGACTCAGTTTCTCCACTCATTCAAACGGCACATTTACACACAGTTCCTGTGACAAACGTTTGCAGGTGTAAAATGTAAAAAACGTCACCTGCACTTTTTGTTTTACTGTAGTAACACCACAAATGAGCCGTTTATACAAAGAGCTTGAAAAGGGGCCACTTTACCATCATCTGTGCTCATGCTTGCATGCTTCACATCATCATCTCCACAAAGGCTTAAAGGAAATATCAAACTGGGCACCAGAACTAACACAAACTCCACGTAACTGCTGCAAACCAGCACTGTAGGGGCACACAATGACCAAACCATCAGCGTACATTAAAAAGGGAAAGATCATACAAAGAACACGTATGTGCGATATCCTCACATGTGCGGGTTCGATTGTTGTGTCGTCCATCGAGCAGTTTTCACAGAGCGCAGAGTCAGCAGTCTTTATCAATCTGTCCAAACAAGTTTTCTCTGCACAGAGTGGAGCTGAAACTGTGAGACTGCACCACACAGGGCACCGTCACCCCCACCCTCCACTAAGACAACCCAGGTGCTGCTCTGATGGGGGGCGCTGTCATAACCTTGTTTACGGCTGTGCAGTTTGGCTGCAGTCCTCGTCTTCAGTAGTAATGACAGAGCTTTCTGCCCCTTTGCTTCAGTCACAAAGTGTTGATCGTCTGTGGACTTACTCTGCTGATGAAATGTTGTTCCTCTCTGACTCCGTCTTTATCAGCCACCAGCTGGCAGGTTCAAACCCAGAGCTTCTTGATGGGAGGCAGCAGTGTTACCGCTGCACCACCGTGTCGCCAACATTGTCCTGCTGCAGTGTGGGTGAGGTTTCTCATGGGCCGTTGTGATGATTGTTGCCTGTGCTGCAGCTTTCACAGGAACGTTTGTGTGCAAAATGAGGATGAGGCCTCTCAGAGCTCGTATGAGTGTTGAATGTGTCCGAGCGATTTCACAGCATAATGGAAGAAGCTGCTGTGATGCAACACAGAGAAACCCAGCTTGTGTCATCATGGCACATTGTCACACACTGATCCTGCTGCCACAGAGCAAAGGTCGTTTTTCTGTTTTGCATGTCGAATGCAGGACGAATATCAAAGCTGGATGTAGTTACTGTGACCTCACCTGCTGGAGGCTTGAAGTTGATGTTTCCACATTTGCTCTATC